CATCATGTACGTAGTGCTCCCTAAATTTGTGACCGCTCTGTAATGTCGGTCTAACCGTACTGTCAAAAAGAACGTGAGGGCGTTTCTAAAGCAGTTTCAGTGGGTGGTGAAGATCTACGTAAATGAAGCATCGTCCTTACCTTTTGTTGTGAACTTTGCACTGTAGCGTTGGGGCTCTGAGCAGCGTCTTTGACCAGATGACTTTGCTGAGACACCAGGAGCTCGCCCCAGTCCTTTTGGGCTACCTGAAGCAGAGACACGCCTCGGGTAGGTCCAGTGAGGGTGGTGCTTTTTTTTGTTGTTTGCCAAAATCCCTCGTTTCCCTGGGTCTGTGAATGTCTGCGTCTCCTAATGAGCGTTTCCTGTGCATCATCGTTGCAGGTTCACCTTGTGGGTCCGACACCAGCAGCCTCAGTGCTTGGCTTGAGGAGAGCTTTGGCAAATTCTCCATCTATGTGGATTACAAAGACCTGCGTGAGATCAACACTGGCTTCGACAGCGTAAGCGCACCGTCGTTCTACCCAGTTGTTCCCATGTTTGTTTTGGCCAACCATGTTATTTCTAATGATGTTGTTGTTTTCTTCCCTGAAGTTTGAGGCCCTGGACATTCTGAGCACTTCTCAGGTCGCTGAACTGACGCTAGAGTCTGGAGCGCTGAACAGCGCAGCTCTGATAAACATGGTCTTTGAACGCCTAGAGCACGGCAACTCTTTCCAGAATGTTGAAGAGTTCATTGTGGCTCTCACCCAGACCACACAGGTACGTTCTCATGACTAAGATGGCAAGCCTTATTTTGTGTGTGTGGGGGGGAACATTTTAAAGTGCAATCGTGACACAATCCCAGATGTGACAATCCCTTTCTGTGTGTCATTTCCTCTAGGATTTGGACATCAGCCCTGTGGTGAGGGACATCATGATGAATCGAACCTTCACCATCATCAGTCTTCATTTTACCGACTTTGTGACCGACGACTGGGTTTCCTGGTTCACGGTGAAACTGATTCCTCTCATTCCCAGCTTGACTGCAGAGATGCTCCAGACAGCAACATTAAACACCGACTGCAATGAATACCACGTCATGTACGTAGCGCTTCCTAACTTTGTGACCGCTCTGTAACGCCTGTCTAATTGCACTGTCAAAAAGAACGTGAGGGCGTTTCTAAAGCAGGTTCAGTGGGGGGTGAAGATCTACGTTAATGAAGCATCGTCCTTACCTTTTGTTGTGATCTTTGCACTGTAGCGTTGGGGCTCTGAGCAGCGTCTTTGACCAGATGACTTTGCTGAGACACCAGGAGCTCGCCCCAGTCCTTTTGGGCTACCTGAAGCAGAGACACGCCTCGGATGAATCGAACCTTCACTATCATCAGTCTTCATTTTGTCGACTTTGTGACCGACGACTGGGTTTCCTGGTTCACGGTGAAACTGATTCCTTTCCTTCCCAGCTTGACTGCAGAGATGCTCCAGACAGCAACATTAAACACCGACTGCACCGAATACCACGTCATGTACGTAGCGCTCCCTATCTTTGTGACCGCTCTGTAACGCCCGTCTAATTGCATAGTCAAAAAGAACATGAGGGCGTTTCTAAAGCAGGTTCATTGGCTGGTGAAGATCTTTGTTATTGAGGCATCGTCCTTACCTTTTGTTGTGATCTTTTCACTGTAGCGTTGGGGCTTTGAGCAGCATCTTTGACCAGATGACTTTGCTGAGACAGCAGGAGCTCGCCCTAGTCCTGGTGGGCTACCTGAAATTGAATAATGAAACAGGTAGGTCAATTAGATTTAACACTGGGCTTTTGAGTGCAGTTGAGTAGGCATTATTCATCTTATTCATATATTGTTCTTTATTTCTCATATATTATCTTATTCATATTTTTAAAGTTTATTCCAATAATTTTGAAAACTTTCAATGCTAATTTCTATTCTGCTCTTTCAATGTTTCAATAAAAATCATGAAAAGTTACATCAACATACACCGGGTTGACAATACCTATCTGTTTATATTTTAGGTATTTGTTAATGAAATACAAATAATGTGCTATAAATTAAGACATTTAATGGGACACAATGTAAAACACATAAAATAAGAATAGTGTAGTCTGAGTTTCCTTAAACAAATCTTTAATGAGTTGCTTTTGGTCATCACATTATTATTATTTTATACTAGTAGTTTACTTGTGTTTTTCCCCCTAATGTTTTTACTTAGCTTGCCAAGGGGATTCCACAGTTGATTCTTCATGGATATCTATCAACTTTGGTCCTTTTTCCAGACACATCACATATACTATTTTAAAGGAGATGAAAATCAATGTGGTAATTAAGTTTATCCTCAATTATTTTACCCTCTCTGGATGACAACTATTCTGACCTGTTTTTGTCCTTTCTTTTTTTTAGATGACAGTTCTAAATTCCCTCCCAGCAACAATGAAAGCAGAATTAATATTTGATCCATCTATTGGTGTACTTCAGAATGAGACGCTTATGAGGATGGTTTTGTCCTCTATTCTGATATCTCCAGATGATGGGCAGCTTGAACAGTTCTTTACAGCTTTTACTTACATCACGACAAAGGTGAGCAATTTTACCTGATACATGTTTTTTTTTTTGCTTTACTCCATTTTCTGCTTTACTCCATTGAAATTTATTTTATGAATAAACTTACAGTTATTTAGGCAGACACTTTCATAGGGGAAGGCAATCCTTAAAAGCATCACACAAACAATACATGCTTTTTAAGAGGATATGAAATATTTTGTTCATATTTTTTCTTTTGTCTAATTTCAGAGAAATATCACAATGATTGAAAACACAGCTGTCAGAGACACAATGCTGAACCTAACTTTGATGGCTCTTGCTACCAGATTCCCCCTCTTCCAATCCAGTGACTATATGTTGTGGTTCCAAATAAATCTTGTTGTACTACTGGCCAGTTTTCGTCCATCATATTTGGTGGTTATCCCCACAAACCTCAGCTGTGACTCTTACGATGCAATGTGTGTGATTTGATTACATTTTAATTATCATTGTTTCACTCATCATGCAGATTTTATTTATTTATTTATTTGTAATTTTGTATTTTTGTAATTTTAAACAGATTAAAAGGCTTAGAAAAGGCTTTGGCAATTGTACCATCTGAACTTCTAGAGGACTTGAAGACAAGCAAAGAAATTCTTATTCTTTCACTACCAAAAGGTTTGTGATAGCCTATTGTAGTTGAATAATGCTGTATTTTTTAAATGTTTATTAAACAATGTGGGTTTTTTTTTTCCGCATGTGCCATAGGTTGTCCTCAGAAAAATACTCCATTACCAATAGGCTCTAAATATGTCACTACTGCAACTACATCTTCAATGTCAACCACTCAACTATCAACTAAGGCCTCCACAGGTCCAGCAGTGCCAGGCGAAGTATCTGTTATTCTGCAGATCCGTTTGCATATACAGTATATTGATGCTTACAGTAATCCTGCTTCATTGGAGTATCAGACTCTATCCAGAAACATCACAATGGAGGTATTCAAAGATATATTTTCACTTTTGCTGTAGTAATAGTAAAATAGTTGTTTTCCCTAATTCTGCCCAAATTATGTTGATAGTGAGATGTATTTGTATGTTATAGTTTATATCTCTGTTTCTTTTCTTTTTAGCTGAATCACTTCTACTGGAAATTGTATGAGCCACACTTTCTCAGATGCTACTTGCTGAGATTCTGGTACAAGACTTTCATATATTATATCAAATTGTTTCACTCAAAAAGTTATCCTTAGGTGTGTAGAGCAAGAAATTAAATATTCAGAATCCTACTGAGAGTGCTGTTCGCACTTTGAATAGATAACCAGGACACAGCGGTCTATCAAAATGTTTATTCATTTGTTCCTGCATGCTACAAAAAAGTGCTAAGTACAATAAAAAAAATAGACCAGTGAACAGATGAGTTTCAGCCTATAGCTTTCTTCACTACTCACTGTTTTTTGTAGGCAAATAATTGCACATTGAGACCATCTTTTTAATGCAAACTAAAGAAGGGTCTATGGTAACATGGATGAAAGCACAATTGGTGTTTTTGATGAGTCTTTGAAAGACCTACATAACTAGTGATGTGAGGGCGATAGTCATACAGGCAAGAGTGTTAATTGTTCTTTGGCACAGGGATGGTAACATATTTCTTAAAACAGGCAGGGACCATGAATAAAGCATGGGACTTATTAAAGATGGATATAAACAACTTTTACATCCATCAAGCTAATCAGTGCAGGATCTCAAAACACAGACAGAAAAATACCATCTGACTGCCAGATAAGCGCTATCATGTTTTTTTTTTTTTCAGATTGTGCATAGAAAGTATTCAGCTTTTCAGCCAGTGAAGAGCCTGCTTTCACCAAAGTTTAGCATCTCTTGCTGCACATCAGAGAGCATAGCACAATGTTTTGTAATCACTTATGTTCCCCGATGAGAGACCCACAATGTATGCAGCCCACCCACAGTTTCTGACTAGTGAAAGTCTTTGTAGTGATGGTATATGATGCTTCATCAGTTAACATCTGTGAACACAACGACGACCGCTAAACTCACCCGGAATGTGTCCCACTCAATGTCATTTTGAGCCCCCTGTAGCATAGCTTCTGATTGGGTGGGCCAGCGTTTCACCACCCTCCTCTCCAGAGGTTCTTGTCCGGGCCTTTGTTTTTATTCTGGTACGAGGAAAATGGCGATATGATCTGATTTAACAAAAGCTAGTAGCCAGTGAAGCTTTATAGCCATTCCTAAACTGAGATTAGCAGTGATCAAGTGTATTTCATCAAGTGTGAAGCCAGCAACTGGATGTATATGTAGACACTGAGCACACCATGAAGCTTAGAGCCAAACCTGTGTCTGCTTGAGGTGTAATTTGCAATTTTGTAAGTTACTTGTATTTGATAGGGACACTGCTCATTAGTGAACAGGTACTGTAAATATCCCAGTTAGCCCAGTAGGCTAATTTTCATCTGTTGCCCCTTGTTTTAAGGTGGCACCCTAAAATTAAAATATAGTAATTTATCACAAACAACAATTACAACTGTCTACAGATAATAAAACATATCAACACAGAAAAAAAAAATGCTGCCCCGGGAAATCACATTACAAATAATACAAGTAATATTCTTCATTACACTGCATCATGTGCACTGCTTATTTATTTATTTATTTATTGCTGAAATTGAAAATATTTATTTAGTTAACACTTGTAGTACACTTGAACCCACTAATGTATGAAAGATGTGTTCAAGTGTACTACAAGTGTTAACTAACTAAAAATGTTTTATTACAGAGATAGTATGTTTAAAGCACATTTTAGTTCATATTCACGGTGTCTCAAAATAGCACAGTTGAGTACACTTATATGTTTATCTTAAGAAGTACTAAATAAAAATTTTTGTATATTATGTACAAAATTAAGTACATTATGGAAGTGCACTTCTTTTTCGCCTGGGTTATACTTGAAACATGCACACATTTAATGAATTTGAAGCTATTTAACTAGTATTATCCATTCAAAGGCCAATGGAAGAATTTCTTCACAATTTTGGGATTGTTTCAACAGGCTGATTTGGAAAAAGTTTTGAGCAGATGTTTTGTTATGCTGCAGTTTTTTTATATTGCTTATCTTGCCATTTTTGCACACTCCTGAGGTATCGATTACTCAGGTCCTTTCCTCTATGCCACTGCTCTGTATTTGTCAATATCACTGTTTATACTTAAGATTAGGTGATGCAAAATTACATTTGTGGTCAAGGGTGGCCACATATTGAATTATTGTGATGTGTTACATACTTTTACTGTCCAAAATAATATCAAAATCCAAAAACGTGAAAACAAGCAACATCAAACCTGAACATTCATTATAGTAATTTAAGAACTTTTACATGTATAAAAATAACGTCAAATATCTTTCTCTCTAGGCCTGGGTCTGTGGGTGTGGATATGCAACTTATTTTTAAAAGTGACACTGTGCTTCCAAATAAAGAAAGCATTGAAGACAATCTTAAGTCAGCAATTGTTGAATCAAAAGTGTTTCTTGACATTATTCCTTCCAGTGTCGTTGTTGGTGAGTTCCTCATTCTCTAAAACAGTTTAAATGTAGGTAATGTTTTTGCTGTAATCAAAAACATTTTGCAGTGGCTGATTTATACTCATTTTCATGTTGTTTCAGTGAATCAAGATGGCTCAAGTTTGACAACCAGACAAACCCAGTCATCACAAAATGTTCTGATTATGCAAACATCATCTGCTGCAGCACCAGTTCTTTCTAGTGTTGTACCCACTAGCACACCTACTGATCTTTCAAGCACAGCTCCTCCTAATTATGTTTCAATCACTGTAGTTCCTGATCCTTCAACCATAATAGTTCCTACAGATCTTTCAGACACTTCTATCACTACTGGTCCATCAGTCACAGTTGGTTCATCAAACACAACAGGTGACACTCATCTGTCAAGTACTTCATCTCCTAATGTTCCCATACTCTCTGCAGTTCCTACTCAGAAATCAAGCATAACTGCTCCTTCTGGAACATTA